CCCCACCACAGACACCCCTGCTCCAGGCTCCGTGCCCCCAACACCTCCCACCCTGGACCCCCTCGGCACCGCACCCACATCACCCCTCCCCCTGGGCACTGCACTCAGATCCCCACTCTGACCCCCACTGGGCACTGTGCCCCAAATCTCCCACCCCCCTTGGGCACTACACCCAGATCACGCCTCGCCCTGGGGGATGGGTGCGTGGATGTAGGGGTGAGGGATGGGTGTGTGGGGTGGATGGGGGGGATGGATGGATGGAGGGGTGTGAGGGAGAATGGGGGGTGGGGTGGGTGGGGTCAATGGGTGGATGGAGGGGCACGTGGGGGGATGCATGGATGGACGGAGAGGTGTGGCGGAGGATGGGTGGTGGCTGTGGTGGAGGGGTGCGTGGGGGGATGGGTTGGTGGCTGTATGGGGGATGGATGGATGGAGGAGTGTGTGGGGGGAATGGGTGCGTGTCTGGATGGGGGATGGGTGGATGGAGGGGTGCATGAGGGAATGGGTGCATGTCTGGATGGGGGATGGGTGGATGGAGGGGTGCGTGGGGCGATGGATGGATGGATGGGAGGATGGAGGGGTGCATGGGGCAATGGATGGGCGGGTGGATGGGGGATGGGCGGATGGAAAGGCGCATGGGGGAATGGTTTATCCAGCGCTGCCCATTGCCAAAACAGCAGTGCAGGCTCGGCAGTGGCTGGCTGGATGCTGTGGTTGTCTCCCCCCAGTGCGGCTCCCACAGCCAATGCCTGCCCCATGGGCTTGCAGGGGATGTGGTTCAGTACGTGGAGCTTGGGCAGCGCAGAATCGGGCCTCACCCCAGAGGTGGCTGCATGTCAGCACCGGGTGAGCCATCCCCATGAGGCGTTATGTGCAGCTATTCCCCAGCTGCCCTGCCCGAGAGATGACTACACCTCAGCTCTGGGCAAGCCATCCCTGTGTGTCCAGGCCTGTGGGGTGAAAGGCTGCAGGCGCAGGGGATTTGGGGTCCCCAAGCAGGATCTCAGAGACCAGGAGTCCTGCGCTGGCGCCAGCCAGGGCTGGGAACCCTGTAGTCACCGCCCCGCTGTGCTCTCTGTCCCCAGGGTGCAGGACTTGCCGGGTGCCAGGGGAGCAGGGTCTGTCTGGCCCGGCCCACTGGCTCCAGTCAATCATTAACCGCGGCAAGGAGATGGCTGAGAAAGACGGTGAGTCGCAGGGGAGCTGGGCCGCAGGCTGCTCCTGCCCCAATCCCACATCCCGCTCCCTGCCCTAGCCAGTGCCTCCGCCCAGTGCCGTGCCCCCCATGATTGGGGGATCCCTGATCCCACCCATGCCCCTGCCCTCTCCCCAATCCCTCCTACCTTCCCTGATCCAACACCCCCATCTCCAATCCCCCCACCCCTCCCCCATTCCTGATCCCACAACTCCCCCAGTCCCATATCCTTCCCACCCCTTCCCAATCCCTGATCCCACCCCTCCCCTAGTCCCATATTCCACCCCCTCCCCAAACCCTGATCCCACGTTCCTCCCCTTCCCTCAGTCCCATATCCCACACCCCACCTCTCCCCAATCCCTGATTCCATCCCTCCCCCAGTCCCAAATCCCACACCCCACCCCTTCCCAATCCCTGATCCCATCCCTCCCCCAGTCCCAAATCCCACACCCCACCCCATCCCTGATCCCACGTCCCTCCCCTAGTCCCATATCCTACACCCACCCCTTCCCAATCCCTGATCCCACGTCCCTCCCCTTCCCCCGTCCCATATCCTACACCCCACCCCTCCCCAATCCCAGATCCCACCCCTTCCCAGATCCCACGTCCCTCCCCCAGTCCCATATCCCATACCCCACCCCTTCCCAATGCCTGATCCCATGTCCCAGCCCCTCCCCAATCCCACATCCCAGCCCCTCCCCAATCCCTGATCCCATTCCTCCCCCGGCCCCATATTCCACACCCCTGCCCTTCCCAATTCCTGATCCCATGTCCCTGCCCCTTCCCCAATCCCTCTCCCCTTCCCTGATCCAATACCCCCTTCTCCAGTCCCCCACCCCTCCCCAATCCCTGTTCACACCCCTCCCCCAGTCCCTGATCCCATGCTCTCACCCCTCTCCCAATCCTACATCCCACACCCATCTACCCCTTCCCAATCCACACTCCCCCCACCTTTTCTGATCCCACCCCCCCTCCCCGAACTGCAGGAGAAATCGATCATTAACAGTGCCAGATGGCTGGGCAGAGGACAGGAGAGGGTCACGTTGCCTGAGCTCAGCTCAGCTCCCTGCTGGTCCCCCACTCCAGGCTGGCCCCCTCCCCGCCCCAGAGGGGCAGGCTGGGGAGAAGGGGCAGGGCCAGGGGCAGATAGGGGAGGGGAAGTTTGTGGGTGGGGAGGTGGGTGAAGCCAGCGGGGGAAGGGTGGGGAGTTGGTGCATGGCTGGTGGGGGTAAGGAGCTGGCCCAGCTGGCAGAGGAGGGGCAGAGGTGATATTGTTGCGAGTCTGAGGTTAATGGCGGTTTGAGATTGTCATATAAGAGGGTCACAGCTGGAATTCTGTAACCAATATCCTCAGTCGGCAATCGGCACAGCCCTGTGCACGGCAAAGCAAGAACAGATCCAGCCCCACGCCGCGGTGAGGGGCAGAGTTGGCCGTGTCCCTTCTCCACTGGAACGGGTGGGATGCGCAGTTTCATCCCCCAACTAAGTTCCAAACTTTCTGTCGTTATATAGCCAAAGAGACCCCTCCTTGCCACAAAAACCCGCCCAGAACTAAGGGTGCGGCAGCACCCCCTGGCTTGAAGTGGTTTCCATCATATCCAGGGTTAACAGTTTGGTTCAATGGCTCTCAGCACCCCCACGATACACATTGTTCCAGCCTCCCTGGCCCAGAACCATCTGTTCTGATGGGATTTCCTTTCAGAGAAAGTCTGTACTGATTGATGTGTGAAGGCAGCATTATTTACAGTGGAGACGACCAACGTTGTTCAAGTTCAAGATAATCTCTCTCAGTGTGTCCTTCTTTCCCCATGGTCATTCTTCCTTAGTGATTCTCCCTAGCAAAAATCACCCCTCATCAATCCCAGGTTTAATGTTTACATCAGCCTTAGATCTATATTCATAGAATCATAGGACTGGAAGGGACCTCGAGAGGTCAGCTAGTCCAGTCCCCTGCACTCATGGCAGGACTAAGTATTATCTAGACCATCCCTGACAGGTGTTTGTCCAACCTGCTCTTAAAGATCTCCAGGGATGGAGATTCAACAACCTCTCTGGGCAATTTATTCCAGTGCTTAGCTACCCTGACAGGAAGTTTTTTGTAATGTCCAACCTAAACCTCCCTTACTGCAATTTAAGCCCATTGCTTCTTGTCCTATTCTCAGAGGATAAGAAGAACAATTTTTCTCCCTCCTCCTAGTAACAACCTTTTATGTACTTGAAAACTGTTCTCATGTCCCCTCTCAGTCTTCTCTTCTCCAGGTTAAGCAAACCCATTTTTTTCAGTCTTTCCGCATTGGTCCTGTTTTCTAGATCTTTAATCATTTTTGTTGCTCTTCTCTGGACTTTCTCCAATTTCTCCACATCTTTGCTGAAATGTGGTGCCCAGAACTGGACACAATACTCCAGTTGAGGCCTAATCAGCGCAGAGTAGAGCGGAAGAATGACTTCTACTGTCTTACTTACAACACTCCTGCTAATACATCCCAGAAGGATGTTCGCTTTTTTTGCAACAGCTTTACAGTGTTGACTCATATTTAGCTTGTGGTCCACTATGAGCACCAGATCCCTTTCCAAAGTACTCCTTCCTAGGCAGTCATTTCCCATTTTGTATGCGCGCAACCGATTGTTCCTTGCTAAGTGGAGTACTTTGCATTTATCCTTATTGAATTTCATCCTATTTACCTCTGACCATTTCTTCAGTTTGTCCAGATCATTTTGAATTTTAATCCTATCCTTCAAAGCACTTGCAACCCCTCCCAGCTGGGTATCCTCTGCAGACTTTAGAAGTGTACTCTCTATACCATTATCTAAATCATTGATGAAGATATTGAACAGAACTGGACCCAGAACTGATCCCTTGAGGGACCCCACTCGTTATGCCCTTCCAGCATGACTGTGAACCACTGATAATTACTCTCTGGGAATGGGTTTCCAGCCAATTATGAACCCACCTTCTTCTAATAGCTCCATCTAGGTTGCATTTCCCAGTTTGTTTATGAGAAAGTCATGTGAGACCGTATCAAAAGCTTTACTAAAATCAAGATATACCACATCTACCACTTCCCCCCTACCCACAAGGTTTGTTACCCTGTAAAGAAAGCTATCAGGTTGGTTTGACAAGTTTTGTTCTTGACAAATCCATGCCGATTCTTACTTATCACCTTATTATCTTCTAGCTGTTTCAAATTGATTGCTTAATTATTTGCTTCATTATCTTTCTGGGTACAGAAGTTAAGCTGATTGGTCTGTAATTCCTTGGGTTGTCCTTATTTCCTTTTTTATAGATGGGCACGATATTTGCCCTTTTCCAGTCTTCTGGAATCTCTCGTGTCTTCCATGACTTTTCAAAGATAATTGCTAATGGATCAGATATCTCCTCAGTCAGCTCCTTGAGTATTCTAGGATACATTTCATCAGGCCCTGGTGACTTGAAGACATCTAACTTGTATAAGTAATTTTTGACTTGTTCTTTCCCTATTTTAGCCTCTGATTAAGGGAATCAAGGATATCTGGTGTTCTATAGGCATGGAGATGCCACAGATTATTAGATTAAATCTTAATAGACAAAATACATTATCTTACTTATAGGACAAGGCCCAGTGTTCTGGGCCTTAGAATTCAAACATCTCCTTTGTTAATATCATACAGATTCTAAAGCAAAGTTAAGACTAACAGAAGTATTGGGAGCATAAGCTTTCGTGGGTAAGAACCTCACTTCTTCAGATGCAAGTAATGGAAATCTCCAGAGGCAGGTATAAATCAGTATGGAGATAATGAGG